CCGCCCACATTCCCAATGGACCCAAACCCCTTCCCGTTCGCTCCCACTGCCCACTATTCTGGTGTTCCGCTCTAGCATTTAAAAACCCTTATTACCCTCTTGAGGGTACAGCCCATCGTTGTGATGATGATGGGACTTGAATTCGATAAAATCTGAATGAAACAGGCTAATGATGTCTGTGAAAGTGCTATCGATCGTTGTAAAAAGCTTCCTGGGTCACGATTGTCCGTGAGGGAGGGAAATCTGTGGGACTCCAGGCCTACGGCAGATCCTGTTCCTGCTCTGAGAGGACTGAGGGTCTCACTCTTGTATCAACAAGAAATGGACTGGGCACCCCAGCTGGTAATGACAATAGCAGAAACAGCCCTGTCGACCCTGAGAAGACCTCATTAACATCTGGGGGTTGGTGCCAACGTTGGGAGAGACTAGTCAAGGAACAGCCAGACATTGTCATACCTATGCAATCATACCTTACAGACAAGGTCCCAGACAGTATCCCTGGATAGTCCTGGCAGAGATGGCAGCATGGTGGTATGCCCTTGGGAAGGAATAACCCTCAGAATCCTCAGCGTTGGCTCCAAACGCCATGAAGTCTCATGACTTCAGGTTAAACATGGGCGAGGAAATCTCCTGCTGCTAACCACACAACAGCAGCTCAGAGGCTGGGAATCCTGCAGCGAGTAACTCCCCTTCTGGCTCCCCCCAAAGCCTGTCCCACCATCTACAAGGCACAAGTCAGGAGTGGGATGGAATACTCCCCACTTGCCCCTGGATGGGGGCAGCTCCAACAACACTCAAGAAGCTCAACACCATCCAGGACAAAGCAGCCCCTGCTCGATTGGCACCACATCCACAAACATCCCACTCCCTCCCCACCACCGACGCTCAGTAACAGCAGTGTGTACCATCTACATGGTGCCCTGCAGAAATTCACCAAAGATCCTCAGGCAGCACCTTCCGAACCCACGACCCACTTCCATCCAGAAGGACAAGGGGCAGCAGGTACATGGGAACACCGCCCCCCCTGCACATTCCCCTCCGAGCCCCTCACCATCCCGATTTGGGAATATATCCCCGTTCCTTCAGTGTTGCTGGGTCAGAATCCTGGAATTCCCTCCCTAAGGGACATTGTGGGTCACCCCACAGCACATGGACTGCAGCGGTTCAAGAAGGCAGCTCCCCCCCAACCTTCTCAAAGGGGGTAATTACGGATGGATAATAAATGCTGGGCCCAGCAAGTGACCCAACATTCCAAGAGAGAATAGAAAAATACAATTAAACTGTTTTGCATCCATTCCCCACTACACCCATTTTCCCCTGGGAACTGGGTGCAGACACTGGGAGCTGGGTTGCAGATACTGGGAGCTGGGTTGCAGATACTC